GGGAGGAAAACGCATCCCATCGTACATACGCCGACGTAGTCGGGTATATATATATATATATATATATATATCACGTGTATTGACGCAGAATGCATGAATGCATGAATCATGAATCGCAAAATCTATGCGATCTTTGTGATATAATTGTTTCAAGCCTAAATATCAAAAATGGTAGTTATGGAATTTCTGTATATATATATATATATATCACGTGTATTGACGCAGTTTCAAACAATGCATGAATCATGAATCGCAAAATCTATGCGATCTTTGTGATATAATTGTTTCAAGCCTAAATATCAAAAATGGTAGTTACTGCACTATGGAATTTCTATACAAACGATCTTTTCTATCGAGATACCAAAAGACGAAATTGAACATTATCTTATCTATTTATCATTCTGTTGGAATGATATCATGCACATGTATCACCGATGGATATTGATAATATATGATTTACAATTAGTTGTAAAAGTTGTTTGTCGATTCGCTCAAATCAGACGCAGTCGAATTCCTAAAATTTGAGTAAATAAACCGCTGAACGTCATCCAGATTTATTCGTATAAGTGATAAATGCCGGAGCAAACTTTGTATTGCGATATTTAGTACCTGATTGTATAGACTTATTCTGTTCTGTCGTTTAGTCTGTCGATCGCTCTCGATCAAAAAAGATATGTGGCCACTTATTATACGGATTAGTATCTTTCTTATCAAGGCAATGCGCGTGTAAAAAAAATAAGCGACAAGCTGACCCGCTAACACCACAGTCTCGAGCTTTGGTCTCTGGTGGCGATAAACACACGTCATGCAGTAGCTTCAGTGGCATGGTCGAGTTCGCTGCCATCGAACGCGAAATCACCGATGACAAGCTCGGAGAGCTCGCGGTTGTCATCCAGAATTTAAGATAAAAAAGCGCTGTTGCTACCGCCGACTAAGAATAGAGAGCCCAACAGTCCAAGCAATGTGTCTTGAATTTTAAAACATCGTTTAACAACTAGAGACGACGAACACTCTACGTTCTCCACAATATTGTTCATCTTACAGCCCCGATCTCGATACATCGGAAAAAATGGCAAACGAAAAGGAGCAGACGGCCGGAAAAATCGAGCTCAAGAGAGAATTAGGACTTTTCAGTGCGGTCAGCATTATTCTGTCAGTGATGATCGGTAAGATATGATTGTTAATTAAGAATTTAATTTTTCATATATATTTAAATTATAAATGCAATCATAACATAAATGCAAATACCATAAGTCAATTCTCATTGAAATTTGTTTCATATTTTTTTTCATGCGTACATGTTTGGATTAAAAAAATTAAATATAGTCACGCACGTGCTCGCGCGCCATTTGTTCCTTCGTGTTGATCGCAGGCATCATGTTATTCTGTGATATCACGAGTTTGATGAAGATTGTGAAACTACGTGAGATAATTTAAAAAAAAAAAAAAAACAGCAATTTATGACTCATTCTTTTTATTCGCAGATTCTTCAATCTTTTAGTTTGTAATCACATTCGAGTGATAAATAATAATGCGGTACAAAGAAGGCAAGCTCAAATTCGCAATATCATTTACTGTTACATCGTGCTATAAAAAGATCCCACGCGATGCGCGCTCTTCTAAGTCACGGAAATTATTTTCGTATGTATTGTTTGGCGATACAAACAATCGAGCGGAACTAAATTTCAATATACATATATTCATATTTGCTCGATGATAAGAAGAAAGAATTGCATAGAGAGAATATAAACTCGGTCCCCATTAAATTAAACAACATCTGTGCACAAAGCAAGTTGATAGATATTGATAAGAATTATACGGTAGGCATTGTTCCAAAAATTTATGTTGCTATTGCAAACTTACTTCTTTTGCACAGATGTCCTTCAATTTAATAAAGTAATAGAAAAGTATTGTATATTATTCGCTATTCTTTTTCAGCACAACACCATCTCTCTTTTTAATTGAATGGTTTATTGGAATGATTAAAATGTGAAATCAAATGATCAAATGATTGAAATTTTCAAAATGATATCAAAATTATAGTTTTGACATACTGAAAAATTAAGAAATTATTTGTCTAATTGATAAAAAAAATATTTTGTTAATAGTAAGCAATAAAGTAAAATAATAAAAGAAACAAGAATAAAAAGAATAGAAGCTAAAAAAGATTTACAATTATTTTTTGATCTTGAAGATTAAAGGAGAATTTAATTTTACAGATTAATATACCTATGAATTCTCTTTAATCACTTCGTGTCTTGCAATTATATCTTCCATATTTAAAACGCTGTAATATTTTTAGAAAGAAAGAAAATCGTGAGTCACTTCCTCCGAGTTTGTGCTCCAATCTCGTGCTAATAAAACATTTTCATTGTTCAGATTTTGTTTTAGTTTGGATTATTAGTTGTAGTCGTCACAGAGTAACTAAATGCATATATATCATGAGAGTTACATATTGCCTACAGATAACGTATAATCGTTTATTTATCGTTCAACATTTTATTAAAATGACACAACATACGAAGACATAATGAAATATAAATTATGGCATTCTCGGAACTATGGTGATAAAATATTACAAGATAACACTGTATAAAAGCAATTAACAGTAATTGTAACTATATATATAGAGTCGAATAAGATACTATTTATACGCTGAATCTCTTGTATTTTATTCGGTTGATTGACGGTATCCGGAATATTTTCTCACGCAATCTTAAATACGGGTGTTAAGAAATCAAAGACATACAAGATTATAATATTCTATAATTGATTTAATCTGATAAATATTACTAAATCTTATTTTCCATTCTCATATGATATAATTATTTAAGGCCTTAGATAGCATTTCAAATCTTTCAAGCATTATCTTTTTCATTGACAGATCTTATTTTTTTATTTATTTGTTTCCAGAAAATTTATAATCCAAGAGAACAAGATTAATTATTTTTACTTTTTCTACGATCCGATTATATCGTCCGTATAACAATTCTGTATAAATAATATAAATAGTATAAATAGCATATAATGTATATAGTATATACTGGTCGAGTTTTTCATAATATTCGATGACAATTATGATTATTCCGATGTCAATACCGATGATTAAAATTTGTATGAATTTATTAATATACGATAGAAAACTTTAGATCAGTAACTAACATATATTTTGTATAAAATGTCGCAAAGGTTAATCAAGGTTAATCGGTCGTGCACATCACGAAGCATTAGCTAACTGTCACAGTTAACTCCGCCAAATACTGTTGAATTACTATTAATTGCAACCTCGTTACCTCTATTGTCCAGGTTCCGGCATTTTTGTATCGCCCACCAGCGCACTTGAGCGGTCAGGATCTGTGGGATTTTGTCTAATCGTTTGGATCAGCTGCGGCGTACTATCTTTGTTGGGTGCATTGGCCTTTGCCGAGTTAAGCACCGTGGTACCGCGTTCCGGTGCCGAATATGCATACTTCATTGAAGCTTTCGGACCGTTACACCCTTACGCCGGTCAAATACCGGCGTTCATTTGTTCCTGGATTTACGTGATACTGCTACGACCAGCGGAGGTAGCGGTGATCATATTGACTTTCGCAGAGTACAGCGTGCAACCGTTCTCTGGATACCTCAGCAATTTACCCGGTGACTCTATGGCGACTTTGAAGAAACTTCTGGCGATTATGGCGCTTGCTGTGATAACGTACATCAATCTCATCAGCGTGAAGCTTTATATAAGGGTGCAAAACGTGTTCACTGTATGTAAAATACTCGCCTGTATCGTGGTGATCGGCGGTGGTATATGGTGGCTAAGTAGCGGTCATGTGGAACTTCTTAAAGATCCCTTTCGTGGCACAACCACGTCAGCCGGTAACATTGCTCTGGCTTTCTATAGCGGTCTCTGGGCGTACGACGGCTGGACCTCGGCCGCGATTGTCACCGAAGAGATTCAGAAACCCGAGATCAATATCCTTAGGAGTACTCTCATCGCGGTACCTGTTATTACCATTCTATATGTATTCATGAACTTGATGTACATGGCAGCGTTGACGACATCAGATATGGTCAGCGCGCCGGCGGTAGCAGTTCTTTGGGCAGATCGAGTTCTACCATCCTGGATGAGTTTCGCAATACCGCTCGGCGTAGCGTTGTCGACCTTCGGATGCGCCCTTAGCGTGCAATTCAGCGTGTCTAGATTATGCTTCGTTGCAGGCAGAGAAGGCCACGTGCCACGCGTCTTCAGTTATATGCATATCGAGAAGATGACACCAGTTCCTGCAGTAATTTTTCAGGGCATACTCTCATTAATGTGCCTGCTATTGGGTGACATAATCGCTCTAATCGAATTCGCCAGTTTCCTCATGTGGGTGTTTTACGGATTAGCGATGATATCGCTTATAATCATGCGACGGACAAAACCAAACGCTCCCAGACCGTACGCCGTGCCTATCGTGATACCTTGGCTAGTGTTAGGTATCTCTATTTTCCTTGCAGTGCTACCGATAATTTATGACCCATCGACGAAATATCTTTTCGCGCTGGTGTTTATTCTATGCGGTATTGTTGTGTACCATATTTATGTATACAAGAAGATAAAAAGTACTTTATTAGGTAAGTTTAACAAGATAAGAAAATTTATAGAAGCTTCTTGTGTAAAAGAGGTGTTTATGTGTCATTGCCACTGTAGAACATAATCTGCTTATCTATAAACACAACAAAATTTACGCTTAATTTTTTTTCAGCTAAACTAACATACTTCATACAAGCATTGTGCCTGGTTGTTGCACCAGACAAACAGGAAGACGAAGGATGGAATATTTCTTAAATCTATCATTGGTGTATATAAGTACATAAAATATTTGCTCACATTCATTCTTCGTGTCATATGTGCATTTCGTAATTCGCAAAAATAGCGCTATTATGTGCATTATACTTTTATAAACTTTTTTTATTATCTAACAATATGAGAATTGATACTTCAGTAAAATAGTTTTTGTGCAGTAAGCATAAATAGAATCAATGTGCCTTACATTGTACAATGCAAAAAAGGTTTTAATTTAAGTTTTTCTCTCTCTTTTTTTATACTTTAAGAGAGTGTAAATTAAAATATTTTTTATAGAAAATATAAATGTATATATAATATAATGAGAAACATAAATAATTAAAAAAGATAATATTTTGTATATTTGTGCGATATTTTACCATCAAGATATAATAAATGTCGCTGATAAAATAATGTATTAATATTGTAATATATTCGTTTTATATAAGGACATACATTTATTATATTTGATAACATTTTGCTAAATGTAAAATAGTATTCTGAGAAAATAAACCTCAAAATGATATTCTACATATGCTTTTTTTGCAACTTTTTTCAATAATACCAATAATAAACAATAACATTATTATCCATATTTTTGTATAGTTAACAATAATTTCATATAAATAAGAGATAATTAATAATTATAAATTATAATTTGTAATTTATATATA